CTCCGATTTGACCATGTTATATCGAGGTGGAATTGATTTTGAAATAATTTTAGCTTTAAATCTAAAGACTGTGTCTATCGCAGAAAGTATTTACTTACAAAGAAAGAGGTGCTAATTCCACAAATTTGACTAGCCGCTACGTATCGTAGCGACTAGGTCTATTGTTTATAAATTATAATCCACGACTGGCAGGATGCGTGTCGGTCGGTACGTAATTAATAGTCCTCGTCGGAAGCATTTCCGTGGTGGTCACTAATTTTGAGTGACGGTCGGGGCCGACCGGCGTGGCGAACAAAGCTTTTTCACATCTGATATTGGCATGTCAAATATGAAATCAAGCGCCGAGGTGGGAACACATAGCGCCGAGGTCCCAAGTGAAGCGCCGAGATTCACAGGTATAGCGCCGCGGACCTCGGCGCTAAAAAGCCCTGGGGAGAACCCTGAACATTGGAAAATATTCAAATGACGTCAATGCAAAATGTGCTCCATTGATTGGCTGGTTTGATTTCAACTGCCATTAAAGTATTTATATAGATGAAGGAAATGGGTTTGTTGTGGAGAGAGTAATTTAATTAATAACGAGTAATTAAACAGATTATTACAAGATCAGATGGTCCACTTTCCTCTTAGTATTTATTGTCTCTGTAGGGAAAGGCAAAATAAAATAAATTTGTTTTATGAAAATGATTTATAATTAATTTCATGTGCATTGTAATTTGTTCTGTGTCGTGTATTTGTTGTATGAAAGAAATGTATCATGAACACTAACATAGATAAAACCATGATTATGTTCTAGCAATCGAGTATAGCTCATTTTGCGGTAAAATATAAAAAAAAAACTACCTACCTGCCAATTTTTTAGATAGTTACTGAAAACAACATACTATATATGTTATCATTTGACCTAATTACACAACTAATGGTTCTGAAAGTGTCTGTAAAAGCTGGAGAGACGTGTACATTTATTTAAAAAAAATGCAATTTAACAAATAATGCACAACTCTGTGAGATAATCTTTTAAGGTCAATGGTGTATATATATATATATTGTATTGTGTGATGCTGGCATGGTGCTCTCACATAATGTTTAATAAAGCCAATTGTTTGTTCCAGCATCTTTGTACTGTCTCAGTTGCTAATAAATGTTTGTCAAATTTTAATTCCGGTGAAATTTTATTCATTATTAATTTTTCCTACTGAAAGGTACAAGAACCCCTTTTTTGAAAACAGGAAATAAAGCAATAAAGCATAATTTCAAAAGTAATTTTATTCGCTAAACAAGCAATTATTGGTCATTGATTGGCTAATTTAGTGGCCATCTCATTGAACGGTCATTTCACTGATTGGCCAATTTTGTGGCCATCTCATTGATTGGTCATTTCACTGATTGGCCAATTTTGTGACCATCTTCTTGATTGGTTGTTTCACTGATTGGCCAATTTTGTGGCCATCTCCTTGATTGGTCGTTTCATTTTATTTCATTGATTGACAATTTCATCTTTCGTCATTTCAGTGATTGGAAGCAAGTAACATCGTCTACGCTTGTTTAGGTAACAACATTCTTGAGTATTCTTGCTCTAAGGTGGTCTTGGTTGCAAGCAGATGTTTTCTGGTTGTTTTTCATTGAAACATATTTGTACTGGCAACTCAAAGATCTTTTGTTGTATCTTTGTACTTACCGAACAATTGTATTGACAGTGTTTTGCTTTTCCCCTTTTTGTTTTCAAATCCTGTTTTGTGCTTTTTATTGCACTTTGTAGTGCAGTCTGCAATATCAGACTTTGATGTTTAGGTGGGTATTGCGGTTATAACCAAAAAAAAAAAGAAAGTACTTGTATAAAAACAGTATTGAAATGAAAGATACCACATGCGCAATAAGGGCCACGTGTGCTTGACATGCACACTGCCTATACGTGTTTATGACAGACATGATGTGCACGTGGGTTAAAAGGTATACATAATTAAAATCGTCATATATCAATCAATCGTGCAGTGTCTTACTAAATATGCTTGCTGTGCGTTGAATGTCTAAAATACGATGTTTTTATCGCGTGAACCTTGAATGGTATGCTTTGTGATGATAGGTAGCATAAATTCAATTTAATAAAAATAGTTATTTGAATTTTTTATTGAATTTTTTTTTACTGTATTTCTCGGTAATATCTGCAACACCACATCCTGCGATCCCCCTAGGTCAAATGTCAGCATTGTTACCATGGAAACATTAATTCATATTTGCCCTCTTGAATATGCGTTC